CAATTAATTATCATATATTTTATTAAACTTTATAATTTATATAACTGATAATAAATTATTAAATGAGTTAAGCAAGGTCATTATTTTAACAATAACTCTTCTGCTTACAGAAACTCTTACTTACTTTGGAAGGAGAACCATCAGTAATTTTCACCAACTGCCAAAGAATCGAGTAATGGGAACATTGCAGTGCCTGTACGACTATCTGTATCAAATGAAAAAAACATTTTTTTAATAAAAGTTCAAACAAATGAGAAAATTGTGTTTTCACGGTATTAGGAGAATACTTGTAATTGTTTTATTTTATAATAGTTTCAAGTCCAAACTTTTCTAGAATTACTGAGAATGGCTAAAGTACTTGGTTAAAAAAAAAAAGATAAACCAACAAATCAGTCAAGAGAATAAAGACAGAACATATCTTGACAGTATGGACCCAAATAACACCATGCTTTAAACAAAAATGTAGTGTCATGAATATTTTGCTTACTTAAGATTTTTTTTAAATGATGAAATTATTTTTATCCAAATTTTAAAACTGAAATATTCTACTTATTTGAATGTATTTTAAATGTGAAATATAATACACATATCCAAAACCACATAAAACAAATATAAAGATTAATAAGTTCATATAAAACAAAATTACCTGTATAACTACCACCTAGGTCAAGAAACAGAACACTGTCAGTTTCTCATCTCAAGGGTAACAGTTATTTTGACTTATACAGTGATCAGTATATTTTAACCACTTAAGTCTCCATCCCTAAAGCTTACATAGCTGTAAACATTACGTAAATGAAATCATGCACTATATATTACTTTGAGTCTGACCTCTTTCATTTAACCTTCATGTTTAAAATTTATACATGTTGAAAGTACCTATAGTTTATTAAATTTCAGTTCTGTAAAATATTTAGAATAGTTTCATATTCAATATATTGTCAAAAAATTATTACATTGCTCTGAATTTTAGGTCATTTTGGGTAACTACCACAAGCATTCTTATGTATATCTCCTGGTACATTGTACATATATTTATCTAGACCATAAGGTCTGTGGAGCTTTGGTTCTCAGCACCTTGTCATAATGCTAAGAATTTGTTTATGTGGGTGACCCCTGTGTAAACACAGTAATATAGCAGAAAACAAATGCTTATTAAATATTTTTCTGTTCACTCAAATATAAAAATTAAATTGATCATACTTTAACAGTTTTTTCTGAAAAATGAACTAATTTTTCTAAAACTAAATAAAATTTACTGAGTGTGTGTTAGTTACCAGGGATTAAACCCAGGGATGCTCTTACCAATGAGCTACATCCCCAGCTCGTTTTGACTTTTTATACTTTGAGACAGGGTCTCATTAAGTTGCTCAGGCTGGGCTTGAACTTGTGATCTTCTTGCCTCAGTCTCCCAAAGTGCAGGGATTAGAGGTATGTGCCACTGCGCCCCATTTCTTTAGTCTGCCTTAATAGAAAAAAAGTGGCTTTTCCTATTTCTGCATTCTGTTACATTGTTTTGAAGTGTATGAAGAAAATCTATTCTCATGCAGACTAGTTGAAAGTACATTTTTTTTTTTTTTTGGTACCGGGGATCGAACTCTGGTCCTTCTGCTTGTGAGGCAGATGGTGGAACCACTGAGCTAAATCCCCGGCCCCTGAAAGTACATTTTAATAGCTTTTGTAGACTAATGTGAATATGTTCTCCATTATGAGACATGTTCCACTATACAGTTGGGAGAGAACAAGAATGGAAAAAAGAAAGTAACATGAAAATAATTTTGACTATATTGATCTACCCCACAGGTTCCCTGATACATCTTTTTCTTTTCTTTTTTTTGGTACCAGGGATCGAATTCAGGACCTTGCGCTTGTGAGGCAGGCACCGGAACCACTGAGCTAAATTCCTGGCCCTCCCTGACTACATTTTGAGAACCACTGCTTTAGATCTAGGATAGCTCAACATTAACAGGATTATTAGATATTACCAAAGTGTATCCAAAGTCAGAGACAGTTATTGTCGCAACATGTTTTCATGAACACTTGATATCCTAAGATGTCTTACATTTGGTGATTCAATTCTGTATGAGCAGTGGTTTTTTTTTTGGTACCAGGGATCAAACTCGGGTCCTTGCGCTTGCGCAGCAGGCAGCGAAACCACCGAGCTAAATCCCCAGCCGCAGTGTTTTTTTTTTTTTTTAAGGGCTTTCTGGATACAGGTCTTGCTCTGTAATCCAGGGTGGCCTTGAACTCAAAATCCTGCCTCAGTCTTCCAAGTGCTAGGATAAGAGGCATATCTTCGACACTAGCTAAGGTTTGATGAGGTTTTAAATTACACCACCCTAATTATAGTGGGGATGGACATCTTTTCTGTTTTATAGGCATTTCAGTTTGTCTTATTTTGGATTTTGTGAAATGTGTGGGTCAAGTCTTTGGTTCCTATTTTCCAGGGAAATACATAACAGAATTCAAGAAAATAAACTGATTAAAAAACATAATATAGCCAGGCATGGTGGTACACGCCTGTAATCTCAGCAGTCAGGAGGCAGAGGCAGGAGGATTGTTGGAGTTCGAGGCTAGCCTTGGCTACATAATGAGTTCAGGTCCAGCATGAACTATAAAGCAAGACCCTGTCTCAAAAAACAAACCAACCAACAAACAAATAAAGAAAAAAAGAAAGAAAATGTAAGACCAGATATAGTGGCGGGAGCTTGGAAACACAGCACTTGAGAGCCTGTGGCAGGAAGACTGCCAATTCAGGGCCAACCTAGGGAACACAGAGTTCGAGGTCAGCCTGTACTACTTAGGGAGACTTTATCACAACAAATGAATGAATGAACCAACCAACCATAAAAGGCAATTATGTTAACACTTTTATGCAACTTTTATTTGAATATACAGTATACTTTTATTGCGACAGTTTACGTAACAATATAGTATTCCCTTATTTTATCTGCTAAATTTATTTAGTGTTCCTATTATCATTCTCACATGAAAATTTAAAAACCCATAAAAATGAACATGGCTGGATGTAGTGGCACATGCATGTAATCCCAACACTGTGGGAGGGTAAGGCAGGAGAATTGCAAGTTAAAGCAAGATCCTATCTCAAAAAAGAAAAAAGTTCTCAGATGAAGAAGTAGAAATGGAAAAAAAAAAAGTAGAAATGTCAAATAAATATATGAAAAAATATTCAACATCACTGGTCATTCAAGAGATGAAAATTAAAACAGCTCTGAGATTCCATCTCACTCCAGAAAGAATGGCTGCTATTAAGAAATCAACCAATAACAAATGCTGGCAGGGCTGTGGAGAAAAAAGAACACTTCTTCAATGCTGGTGGGAATGTAGACTGGTACAATCACTGTAGAAATCAGTTTGGAGATGCCTCAAAAAACTTAAAACTACAGGTTCCATTTGACCCAGCTATTCCCCTCTTGATATCTTCTTGAAAGAACTCAAAGAATCCTAACCACAGCAATATATGCACACCCCATGTTTACAGCAGCACAATTTGTAATAGCCAAATCTTGAAAACAGCCCATATGTCCATCAACCAATGAATGGATAAAGAAGATGTGGTTTGTTAATATAACGGAGCACTACTCTGTCATAAAGAAGGATAAGCTTGAGACACTTCTGGCTAAATGGATGTACCTTCAGACCACACTATTAACTGTGGTCAAATTGGACACAGTTTAAATATCTCATTGTTTCTCTGGTGTGAGAAACCAAAAGTGGAAATATGGACCAAAATGTGTAAAAGATACTGGGAAATGGAAAGAAAATGTTCAAATGAGAAGGGGAACAAAGGAAGGTGGAAAAGAAAGACGGCAGAAGAAAAAAAGAATGAAGGAAAAAATGGAAACAAAGCTTTTGTAAATAAGGAGGGGAAGAGGGGTTGAAGGGAAAAAAAAGCAGTAGCAAGGTATATCACGTACAGGTACAAATTCCCTGTGATGAATGTTATCATTATTTATATATATCTAAAATGTACCAATAGACTTTTTTAAAATGAAAAAAAAAAAAAAAGAAGAAAAAGAAAAAAAGGGCTGGAGATGCAAAGGCCCTTGTTCAGCCTCCAGTACAAAACTCTGCAGGTTGTGGTGGTGGTGGTATTAATAAATGAAATGTTGCAGAAACTAGTTGAGACTTGCTTTTCTTTAAAATCACCAAGTTTCAGATTATTTAAGCAAAAGATATCTCCAATATGCTTATTTGGGAATTGAAAATAATTTGTGAGCCTCCTGCTTCAGCATCCCAGCATGTCAGGATTATAGCCGTGTGTCATCAGGTCCTTCTGATCTATACGTTTATCCTTTCTTCAACAGTATACTGTCTTGATTACTGTACAGTACTGGAATCAGGTATTGTAAGTCTTGTAACACTGTTCTCCTTTTTCAAAGTTAAGTTTTTAAATTCCTTTGCCTTTCCATATAAATTTTATAATAAGGTTGTTAGTTCCTGCATAAAATTCTGCTAAAACTTTAAATGCAACTATGTTAAATCTATAGATCAGTCTGTGGAGAACCAACATATATTAACAATACTGAGTCTTCCAATACAGGAATGTAATAATTTTCATTCTTTTATTAATGAGTGGTAGCTTTCAGCATATAGATCTTATACATATTTTGTTATAATTAAATATTTCATGTTTTTGAAGCTATTGTAAATGATATATTTTATAAAATTTCAATTTCTAATTGTTCATTGCAAAATAACTCACTAATTTTGTTTTTTGGAAACAGGGCCTCACCATGTAGTTCAGGCTGGCCTTGAACTCCTTATGTAGCCTCAGCTAGCTTTGAACTTGTGGCAATTCTCCTGCCTCAGCCGCCTGAGTGGTGAGATTATAGGTGTGTGCCACTACATCCTGCTTCTCAATTTTAAATTTAGAAAGTATTAGCATTTAGATGTACCTGGCAAAATATCTAACAGAACAAATGGTGCACAATTCAAATTAAGATTCCTGATCACTACAGATCCCTAGTTTTCCACAAAGTAAGGCATTGCTAACAGGTTACTATATATCATCCCAGAAATAAATCTGTCAAGTAGATGTGTGTATAAACAGATCCTCTTCTCACTTCTTAAAATTATACTGAAAAAAGTGAAATTATACTGATCTTTCTTGCCATTTATAGCTAATATATCATTAAATGTCTTCTCACATAGAATGTGGTAGCATAAGTAACATCAAACTCA